AGAAATAGACTCCTTGAGGAGTGGATTTTTTAAAGAAAATGGATTCCTAAAAGGAACAAACTCCTTGAGAAGTGAATTTCTATAAGAATGTTGGTTCTTAAGAAAACATATGGTGGCATTTGTGTGAAAGATAAAAGCGGTCCGTTTCTTTTTAATTGGCTTTCTTTATCATAAAAGGATTACAGGATATCTTTTGGTGATACATCTTGCATTAGTAGTCATATTTGTCCCGCATAATAAGTTAAAACCTCAAAAAATATTTTACTTGAATTATTCAATAAAATATTAATACAAAATTTTTAATTATTCAACATGTAAAACGATGTTATTAAAATTATTAGTACTATTTTTTAAAATAGCAACTAGTTTCATATATAAAATAATATAGAAACAAACATCACATGTTTATGAAGTTTCTTTAGGTGGATTGGATTTATCATCGTGATTGGAGGGAAAGAGATGGTGGCTCTCCATTATCAACTTGTATGATGTCATGGTACACGAAATTTGTTTTCAACTTTGTGACGTGAGTCGTGAGGGGCTGGCTATTTGATCAATCTACGTGAAGCTGACTCTATCCCGTCAAAAGGTCAACACAGTGTCTGAAAGGGTCCATATTCCATGCTGAGATCACAAGAAGTATAGAACTATCCCTTTTCTGAATGGGCCCAATGCACTAGCCCTAGTGGCCCAGGTCCCTCGTCTATCCTTCCTTTCTGCGTTATTCTTTGTTTGGATCGTCAGTTTTTTTTATCGTCCAAATTGCCTCTTGATTGCGTTGGAGACTATTTTTTTTTTAAAAAAAAAAGAAAAATTAAGGAGGAAAAAAATGTATCTGAACTTTTTGCAAAATAAATAAATATATGAAGTAAATAAAAAAGTTACTAGGATTTTTTTTTATTTCAGTAGTAAAAGTGTATTTGGACCACCTTTCTTGTACCTTGAAACTAATTTCTTTTTGAATATAATTAAATAACACTCCACAACGCATAATCTTGAATATTTTAAAAACAAATTGTTAAGAGTGTTAACTACAAAAATTGAACTCTAAGTTGGATTTACAAGCGGGTTATCAATTTATAATTAGGATTTTTGGATAAATGGTATGGACTTTTTATGACTTATAGTAACTAAAAAAAATTAATTTAAGAATTTGAAGTTTGAATGGTTCGAAATTTAAATTTAACTTGAATGACAACTTGCATGTATTAAAAAAATATAACCAAGGAAATTGATGAAAAAAAATAAAATTTTAGAATTTAAATTGTTTATATAATTGAAGGACAAGAAAATAGGTATTATAAATTATGTTTGTGTTAAAAAAGAAGAAGTTATTTTAATTCCCATTTGCGTTAAAGCAAAGAAAGTTTATATATACGCATGTAATGTTTTTTCCTTGCTTCCCAGCATTTTTCAATTAGCTAGGCCTGGGCCAGGAGTTGGGCCTGTACTGAATGTTGATCCTAGTAGCTTTTTACTAAAGCTTGTGTTTTGGGTCCTTTACCATTGTCCACCATGATCGAATCCATCTTTCATTTTCACACAAGAGAGACAAGTACACTAGGAATTGGCGCGTCTGTAGTTTCTGTCTTATGAGTCTCGTCAGGGGTGAAAAGGAAGAAGAGTCGATGCGTCTGCTATTTGTGGATCGCAGAGCCATGTTTTATTCTCTTTTTGATGGGGGCATCTCAAAGCTTTGTGATTTGAAGCCAAAGCTCTAATGGTTGGAGGAGCATTCTAGTCTGTTTTCATCCACAGAGGAATGATATATCCCTCATCAGATAACAATCGCTCCTGCAGCACTGGTCTTCTCCACTACAAACAGCATCTGGTAAACTCGAACAAGTTTCTTTTTCTTTTTTTGTCTTTCATTGTGCTATTGCAAGTCAGAGGAGTACAGTCTGCACATTGAAGGTACCATTCCAATGCTAGGTAGCCCTTTTTTAGCGGAGTAGAGACATTCTGGCTCTCTAAGGTTTGTGTGTTGTGTAGCTCAACTATAGGTCCTGCCTTTCAACTGCTAAGTTGCCCATTTTAGCAGAACACATACCTTCAGGTACTCTCTGGTTTACATATGTTTTATAGCTGACTTTGTGGCACTTTTTTCATTTGGTACAATTTGGTATCATGTATATATTTTTTTGATTTGATGTACTTATGAAATCCTTGTTGATTGGTTGGTATTTATTGCCAATATGCCAGAACTGAAAATGGTATCCCATTTACATTAAATCAACGTTTTGCACTTTAAAGTGGTTAAATCCAGTCAGCGATGGCTAAATTGTTAGATGGAGGAGGAATAAATTAACAAAAAAAAAAAAAAAAAAAAAATTGTAGGAGGAATAGTAAATGGCAGCTTGGCTTTGACAGCCAATTCCTCCTCTCACGTCACATAAGTGTAAAATTCAACAGAAATTACGAGCCTTGAGAATTTTGCATCCTTGCATACAGAGTTCTGTCAAAACGCGAGGCACTTTGGGAATACAATTTATAGAATTATATGGGACTGGAGGGAAGAAAATAGAGTTCATGGAGGGGTGGCGGAGCTTGGGGATATCGGGAAGTTTGAAATGGAGGTGTTAGAGAGACACTTGAGCAGCAGGGTAACTCAAATAGACATAGTACCTGTGCAAAAGAGCCTTGCTTGAGATGTTGAAAGACAGGCTATTACGTTCCAGGCGCACAGATTGACCTCTCTGCAAGAATTTGTTTCCTTTCATGGGTAATCTTCATAGAAATCTTATGTCTTAGCTTTGCAATATGGCTGACTGTGGACACTGGAAGAAATACTGGTTTTATCATCATTAGCTGGTTGTAAAGCTTTTTAAGATTTCTAAGTGTTTAGCTCATTACCCCTGTTGTGAAACTCAATGATAACATCAGATGTTCTGCCGTTAATTCTAGAATTTAAGTTTTTAGTTGGGTAAATTATAGAATTGTGTAAGCATTGCAGTTTTTAACTGTAATAGCTAGTGGTGCGAGATTTTTTATTTTTCTTTTTGTTTGTCTGTAATATATTTGCTTGTGCAGTGTGAGCTTGTAAACACAATATTTTCTATTCAGAGGCAATATCTATGTATCATTGACAATTGAATTGAGGCAAAAGATTGGATTTGCTGTAATGCATCAGAGTTTTCCAAGGGGCTATAGACAAGGAAAAGAAGCAGAAGTCATTTTCATTGCAGGTGTTCAACATAAAAAAAAAAAAAAAAAATCTTGAGAAGCTTCTTGGATGTTACATGGAAAGGAGACTAAAAAGATGTAAATCTATCTTTCCTGTTTATATCAGTCAGTAATAGAGCATTGGTTAAATCATCTTGAGTTACAAAATTAGGTGGCATCAAATGATTAGAAGAAATGATGAATGCACTAGTTGCAACCCAGCACTTTTTTATTTTTCATTTTTTCTGGTTTGATGTTTGATGCTTCTATGAATTCAATTAACCGGAGGGAACTAAACGTTCTGATGAATTATTATGCATTTTGTTGAATTGCATGAATACTTCTTTGATGGTGAATTAGATACAAATTTCAGATTTTGGTATGGGCTGAAGTTCTGCAGTAAATTGAAATAAATGAAATACAAATGCTAGGAAGATAGTTTTCTGTCAGTAGGTTTGTTTGGAATGTGTGCATGCCCCCAGAGTTTTTGATTGATGTGATGAGCATGTGATCTGGTTGATAAACCTGATGTCTTTGCTTGTTGTGCTAGGGATGGTTAGTAGGAAGAGAAATAGAGGATTCTGCCATCAAAACCACCACCTTGACAATTCTGGGCATGTGAGTAAATGAGAGTGAGGATTGCTTGAGGATGAAAACCCTCCAAACTAATTTGCATAACTCATTTTAAGAACCCCAGTACAAATGCAACATTACTGTCATATTTACTAAAGTATATGCTCTAGTAAAATTAATTCTTGCCTCTGCTTTATGTACTACTAATAATTCATCCGAACTAACTTGCACATCGTTAGGCATGAAGACTCTGTACAGAAGGCAGGCATATGAATCATTATATAGAAAGAGACGCATAAAGTACAAATTCCAGTTGCATTGAGACATTGCCTGTACAAAGATAAGACTTGCTTTATTGTCATTAGGACTGTTGTTTAATTAATTTCTCCAAGGAAACCTTGTGTTTCGTTGACTAGTTAGCATATTGGAAGGAAGATAAGACAATAGTTTCTTCGACTGGTACTAAGTTGATACCTCTGATGTTTTCTTGGCCTAACTTATATGACCTCTAGCAAAGTGAATGGCAGCTGCCGGCTTTGATTCAAACTACATTAGCATGTATAATCCATATTTGAGGTAATAATTATCTCTGGAGTTGTATGAATTGATAAACAAGACGAACACTCTTCAAAGAGTTGTTGCCATTATTCCTACAGTGACAGTCATGTTATCAATGATTCTCAGAACTGCCAACTCAACTTACTGCAATCAAACATGCCCAGGAAGCAGCATAGAGAGTGTCCAGTATCCTTTTGGGTTTTGGGAAGGCTGCAAAATCCGTCTGCAGTAAACCTGGTGTTATCTCCATCGAAGATTTTCAAGTCCAACTTATAACTGCAGACAGCATCTGGATTAACATTCCATCTGCCTGCAACCGACCAATGGAAAGTGCTACATTGGTTCTCTTTGGGCAAAATTATGAACCTAGTTTAAATAATTTGTTTATTTTCTTAAACTGTAAATCCCCTTCAGCGACTGAATTCATGGGCACATTGCTGAATTATTTAGCATGTTAAGCAAGACATTTAAGGAAGCTACTTTCACAGCTTGAGTTGCTTCACAGAGAGATACTCAATCTATTTTGTATTATATAGAATCAAGACAGGCTAATTGTAGCTTCCTTTTCTCTACTGCTGCCGTAGAATCTCGTGACAGTGTATCTTCTCAGACAATTGAGGCGGTTCAGCTGTCATGGTGGTTGGAGGGGAATTGTCAATGTTTTCTGTATTCAAGTTGTGCTATACTACCTCTTCCAAAAGGAAAATATGGGTGTCAGTGCCATTGCATGGGGGGCTTCAGGGGAGCTGGGCACCAAGAAAGCTTGGATTGCCAGAAAGGTGAGTTTGGTGATCACTCTTGATTTTTCTAATAATTAAGCATGCTTTTTTTTTTTTTTTTTGCACCATCTAGTCTCACTGCTTGCCAATGCTGAAAGTTGCAAATCTGTATACTCAAATGAAGTAATGGAAAAATTATCCGAACATACGGTCATGAGAGTAAAAAGAACAGCCATATCATGCCCCGTGGACTCTTAATGGTGAAATTGGCTCTCTCTATGAATTTCCAGGTTTCTTGACTTTAACTTTTTTTTTTAAAAAGAAATTATGTTTTCACGTTGAGTTTCACCCCTTCTTTTCCTTCTGCCAGTTGAACAACTTGACAGAGCAATCATAGCTATTTCCGTATGCGTGCCACTCCTGGGAATACTGCTCTTAATCATATCTTCGAACTGGTGCAGCAGGAAAATTATAGGTAAGTTGCTGTCTCTAGTATGAGTGGTTGCTTTGCTCTCCAGGCCAAGTCTAGAACTGAAGGGAATGTAGGACTACAGGCTATTTATTGAAGGAAATCTAGGCATTGAGTTTTACTCCACTCATGGCATATCCTTTCCTGTCCTATCCTCCATATCTCATAGGAGGATTCAAAAGGCATAAATCTATCGAACATTCATCAACACACGATTAGAAGTTCTGATGATATGCTTCAGCTTTATACAGCTTCATTCTCTGTATTGCAGGAATAATATTGGGACAATTTCAAGAAGGATTTTCAAACGATTACAAGAACAAAAAATCTGGAGTTGCTACTATTTTGACGTGACCGCAATAGTTAATGCAACTAATAACTTCTAAGAAAATTACAAGCTTGGAGAGGGTGGGTTCGGATCTGTCTATATGGGATGCTGCTAGCTGAGAAAAACTGACGTCTTCTCATCTGTAGACTATGAATTCAGCATTTCTACTGAGCAATGGTTCGTACAAACTTTGAAGTTACAACCTGACTTCATCATTCTATAAAACTACTGTTTATATATTAGATGATCCAAATTTGAGTGAAAATATCACATTAGGAATTACCATTCAAATTGCGGACTTCCCTGCAGCAATTTAATTGTCTGAGAGACAAACTTGAGTTAATACTACAAAATTGGTGGTAATTCGTGCACAACTGCATATAGGTACTTCTTGGGACATGATACTGCTAATTTATGATTCAAAACTCATGATACTGCTAATTTTTTAGGTGGTTGATGCTCTTAGTAAATAGGTGAGACTATTGCACAAACTACAGAGAGCGGTTACTGCGTTCAATCATTTAAGAAATTGTATCTTTGTGATGCTGATTTTAAGAATCATTGGGCTTATTGCAATGATAGCCAACATAGTGCATTCTTAACACATGATAGTTTTCTTCTCCTCGAGATCCGACTATTTGTGCCAATATGCTCCCTAAGAGATAAATTTATTCAGGAGTTACACAGTAGAGGACTGGAATGACACCTTGAGTGAGATAAAACCATTGCTTTGGTTAAGACTTAATATTATTGGTCTCAATTGAAGCAAGATGTTAGCAGATTTGTGAAAATGTATTATATCTATTAAACATCCAAGGGGTATAACAACAAAATACTAGATTGTACACACCTTTATCGGTGCCCAATGAACCTAAAAAGATTTGTCCATAGATTTTATATTAGGATTGCTACGTACATAAAGTTAACGCAAGCCTGGCATGATCATAGTTGGTATGCCATGTAAACAAACAACTTTCTTGAAGAAAAGATTGGCTATGGCAGTGGCATCGAAAGTCTTGTGACGTGGAATGAAATGAGTTTTTCAGTCACTTTTGGAGGATTCTATGGTGACAATTGAACACGAATTTATAATATAGCACTCTGCTTGTCACCCATGAACTGATAAAAAAAAACATGGGAAGTTAATTGTTCTTTAAGAAAATATCTTCAGATGTCTTCATAGTAATCATCCTGAACAGTGAGACTTCTTCTCATCACAAGTAGAAGAAAATCACCATTTGAGGTTATTTATGGTCAGACTCCTCGCAGAGCTTGGACCTAATTCCTCCATGCAAAGTTTGAGGATACTTCATTATAGCCGAGCACTTGACAGATCATATTTATGCAGTTCAAAACGGAGTACAATAAATTAAAATTTCCAACACCAAGCATAAAGAGAATGTTGGTGCCTACTGATGGAAGAAGATTTTTAACGAAGATGATGATGCTATCCAACTACCAAGTATAAAGAGGATTTGTGTGGCCAAAAAATTTGAGGTTATTTATGGTCAACTTTATGCCAAGACCAACTACCAACAATAAACCATACCAAACTTTTTGGCCACACAAATTGTTAATAATAATAATAATAATAACAATGCCTATGCTGTTGGTATTTCTCATTCTATGAGCACCTCAACTTTTAAAGTGGCTGATCTCTACACCTACCACTTGAAAAAACATCATGAATGAGCTAACTCGAGGCCGAGTTTTTCTACAAGTGGAAGGAACTAATATAGGACATTAGGTTGTATTTTGGAAACTGTAGCAGTCGCTATAGTCAAAACTTCAACATGTAATTTCCATACTTACATTTGGAAATTATAGTAGCCACCATCGGTCAAATTGCGACATTTATTGTCATTTTGAAAATTGTTACTGTCTTCCACAGTCCAAACTAGACAATGGCTTGTTAACAGGCTATATAATAAGAGACTGTGTTTTCAACATCATTCAATTATCAATAAAAAAAAAAAGAAAAGTATTTTTGTGTTTTGTTGCAATATTAAAAAGTTGTGGAGATTAAGAAGTGTTATAGCCTTTGTTTTTGCGTGTTCTAGTATATTTTGTTAAGTAAGTTTTAATGATCAAGAGCCAAGTTCTTTTGAAAAATACAGATTTGACATTGAAAAACTGAAAAAAATAAAGATTCAAGGGAAATGTTTCTGAATCTATAGGGACTGAAGTATAGTTTGTCAATGAGTGAATTATCTTGTGGAGGCCGCCAAAAGGCAGAGCTGCAGAATGAAGGAATACCTAATTAAACAAATAAACGTATCTGTCTTATTGGATGCAAACAAGACCAACAATCACAACGCTATCGTATAACAACAAATTTCATTTTTAATGGAAATAAACGAATGGAGGAAAAGGTTTGACAAACTATGAACGACTGCAAATGAGCGTATAGCTTAATTATTAGTTATTTCGTTGTCTTTTAAGGTATTGTCTGAATTTATTATGATTATCATAAATTAGGTTCCCAAAATCCATCAATAGCTAAGAATAGAGTTGTAAATTAATTGAATCTTGACTCGAATTCGAATTCGATTCGAATGTAATGTAAATAAATGGATTTGATAAATATTTTTTTATTATTTGAGTCTAATTATAATTCGAATTTATTAATTTGTTTATTAAATAGATGAAATCCGAATCTATTTTGATGCAATTTGATAATAATCTGATCCAAATCTGTTAAAATCTAGATTTAAAATCACATTTTTAAATCGATCTAAATTTATAAGATCCGATCTAATTTGTTTCATTAAGCAAATCAAATCTATATTTATTATTATTTGATTCAAGTCCAATTCATTAATAACTCTAATTAAAATGGAACCATACAAAAAATAATATTATCTCATTTAAGGGATAAAGATTATAACAAAAACCGATGACTAGCAACTTGAATTGAACTGAATGCTACTTAAGCTTCTTTTTTTTTTTTTTCCTTTTTTTTTAAGAAATGGTTATTATAGTTGGATTATGTTTAAAAGCAACTACTGATTTTGATTTTGATTTTTATGATAATTGAACCCATAACAGAACCAAAAGAAATATGTCTTTTTTTTATAAGTTTTCGTTTTAAGAATTGAAAAATTATAAAAAAAAATTAATTAATTAGAAATCATTAGAAATTCATTTTAAGCTTTAAAAATACTTATTTTTATTATTTATTTTTTGCCATAATATTGAGACTTGTTTGAAAAATAACTTATATGGTTTTACATTATTATAAATCGATATTTTACTTGGTTTAATCATATTTTTATGTGAAAAACCTATTTAATTGTTATTATCTAATTTTTTTAATTATTAATATTCTTGTTGACATGTGATTATTCGAATTTATTAAACTTATTTCTTGGCTTAGATTTTTTAAAAGCTAAAATGGATGTTTAATGGTTAAATGAATAGATAATCTAACCACCATGGTTATGACAATGCAAAATCAATAATCGATAATTATAGTTGTGGTTATATCAACAATCTTAAGCATGATTAACCATTATTATCCTCACCTATACTCCCTCAAGAAGTCTTGGTTTCAAGCCTATTTTTTAAAATAGGAGGGGGAAAAAAAAGGTAAGTGAGTTATCAACTTACGCATGATATTTCTATCCGTCGGAGAAAAAAATAAATAAAAAAACAACAACAACGAGACAGTGGGGGGATCTAAGATCTAAATAATCATAAAACCAGGAAAGGAAAAAGCTTTTTTAATAAAGTACGAAATACGAAAGAAGCTTCATCCTTTCCCTTTTGTTAGTTCATCGAACCTATCATCCATTTCAATAAAGGACTTTGCAATTAATTACTCATAAAAGGTAGTCGTTCTCTTTCGTAGTCTGAAAAGATTTATTTGACTTCTTTTCTTACATAATTTCATAGAAGACCGAAGACTGATCAGGCATAGCATTCTATGGCCTTTTGGGCAACCCAATCCTATCGCTTCCAAAATGACAAGTCAAGTACAATAACGGAATCACCATGACCTTTCAAGCAACTTAATGACTAAAGCCACATCCATAATCCATTCGTTCACTGATCAAATGGGTGGCACCATTAACCCCGATTACAAGCAATGCAATGATCTACAGTCCTCTAAAGTCAGAAGAAAAAAAAAAAAAGGACTTTTGGCAATAAAATTAGTTGCCTTTAGACCCTTAATTTCAACATATAGCATATTTTTCGAATTCATTTTTCTTTTAGTGGAACTAATCTTAGACCACTAGAACATTTGAAGTTTTCCATGGAAAAAATCTAAATAATTGTGCGGTCTCCTTCTTTGAATGAATGGATAATATTAACATTAAACCCACTAAGATCATACGCAGAGCTATCAATTATAACTTCATAAGAAATTCAAATATGTCAAGCTGGAAATTGCATTCCACCAAGGCTAGACGCCCATTAATTCCACACGGCGATTGGCAGAGCCATTTGCTTTCTCAAGAATTCAATGCGTGTTTGTCTGAATGGCTAGATGCTTCGGCACGGCATTTGCAGTTGCAAACTGGTTTTGGCCCACCACTGGCTGCCATTGATCAAAAGTTACAACCGTGTTGATTTACTACTCATTTTCAAAAAATATTTATCCATTTCTTTCTTACATGTTTTAGAATCGAATCTTAAAATAATATATATATATATATTTTGAAATAATAGATCTTTAAAATCATTTAGAGAATATTTAATCTCAATTCCTATATAAATTGATAAAAAAAGTATTGTTATTATTATCGAATAAAAAAACATTTCAAAGATATTTAAGATATTATTAAAAGATCATCTCATCTAAAAGCTTAAGTTTAATAGGTGACGTCCCAAAATATAATTTATATTAATATCTAACACATCTTCTTAAGTGAAAGCTCCAACATTTGGACTTGAAACTTGTACGGATCCATATTATTTTGTGTTTAATACTTGATCAAACTCTCCGATATCATATTGAAGGACTATTTTATCTAAAAACTTTAGTTAATAGGTGAGGCCTCAAAATATAATTTATACTAATATCTATCATATTAAAAAATCATCTCACCTAAAAGCTTAAGCTTAATAGGTGAGATGACCGTTTGATATGATATCAAAACCTCGATGATCAAACGATCACGAGTTCGAATCTTATCATCCTCATTTTCTTTTCAAATTAATCAAGTATAAAGTAATATGAGTCTGTATAAATTTCAAATTTAAAAAATAAGTTTTAAATCTAAGAGCTCTCATTTGTAGAAATATATTAAAAAATAATATAAATCATGTTTTGAAATTTTAACTAAAGGCTTAAACGTCTAGCTGAGATGATTTTTCACAAATATGTCCGTGAAGTTGACATGGTAGGCTGATGGAGAAAAGCAATCGGTTTCTTTCACTTCTGTCATAGTCATCCAAATAAAACTGATAATTTTGATATAATAATAATAATAATAAAAGAAATCTTGGCTTGAGGCACTGGAGTACCTAATTCTTTATAATTTTGTTCTTGAATTTATTGACGAATACAAATGAAAAGCAGTCAAATAATATAACATTAATAATGGAGGAGGACCTAGTCTTCGTAACACATTTAATACCATTGTTAGGTCTCACACTGAGAAAATTTGGCTGAAAACAGAGATGGAAAGCCTAATTGGCCTTACCGTTCCTCTTCTCTTCTTCTGTTTCACTTCTTCTTTCACAACATCCTTGGCAGCAGACACCATAGCTGCAAACCAAAACATCACTGATGATGGAAAGACCATTGTATCAAGTGGTGGAAACTACGAAATGGGGTTTTTCAGCCCTGGAAATTCCACACAACGATACTTGGGGATATGGTACTACAAGATATCTAAAGGAAGAGTCGTTTGGGTTGCCAACAGAGAGAGACCAATCACTGGTAAATCTGGAGTTTTCAAGGTTGATGGAAGCGGAAATCTCTTGCTTTACAATGAGAACAGCAGTGTCATTTGGTCTTCCAACACATCAAGGCCAGCGCAAAGACCGGTTGCGCAGCTTTTGGAAACAGGAAATCTTGTTGTCAGGAATATAGATGATCCTAGCCCGGAAAATTTCCTCTGGCAAAGTTTCCACCATCCTGGTAATACATTTCTACCAGGAATGAAAGTTGGACGAATAGCTCCAGGCTTGGATGTGATCATATCATCATGGAGGAGCACCGACGATCCTTCTCCAGGGGATTATACTTTTGAGGTTGATCCCAAGCGTTTAGAGTTGGTTGTAAATGATAATTCGGTTTTGAAGTCTCGTTCTGCGCCATGGAATGGCATCGGGTTTAGTGGTCTGCCTTATTTGAAACCCGATCCCATTTACAACTATACATTTGTTTTCAATGAAGATGAGGCATACTTCACTTATGATCTCTATAACATATCTGTTATTACAACATTGGTTTTGTATGAAGATGGTGTCATGAATCGGCTTACTTGGATTGATCGAACTAGCAGCTGGATCGTGTACGCCAGCGCTCCGGCGGACAACTGCGATAATTATAATTTATGTGGTGCTTATGGAAGGTGCAACATCGGCACTTCTCCTGCCTGCAGTTGTTTGGACAGATTCGCACCCAAGAACCAACAACAATGGCAAAGGGCAGACTGGTCTAGTGGATGTGTTCGAAAGACGCCATTGGATTGCAAGAGTGGAGATGGATTCATCAAGTATTCCAACATTAAACTGCCTCAAGGGAATAATTGGACGGTTAATGTAAACATGACCACGGAGGAATGCAGGACAGAATGCTTGAAGAATTGTTCTTGCATGGCTTACATCAATTCAGATTTAAGAGGACAAGGAAGTGGATGCTTTCTCTGGTTTGATGAAGACCTGATTGATATCAGGCAGTATACAGATGATGGGCAGGATCTTTACATTAGAATGGCTGCTTCTGAAGCAGGTGAGTACACATATACTTCTGGCTTGGCAAATACAAAAACATATTGCATTGCATAGTTATTTTCAACCAAAAATTGGGAAATCTCAGTTTATCATGTTCAAAATTCTTTTTTTCAGGGGAAAAAAAAAAAAAAAACCTAGCTGCATAACATGAAGTGTTTGAAAAGTCTTCGAATCCAATGTGCATACGTAGATAGGAGAAAAAGAAACATCTACTTCAACTTTGTCAAACTTAAGATATTGTGGCTGAATTTGTCAATCTCAATTCACATCTCTCCAATGTACCTTTCCTCCTCGCTTGTCTAGCCTTGGAGGACTTAGCAATTAAGGGTAATGGTAGCTGAGGTAGCATTGCAATATT